AGTGCCTTCCGTCTCCTCTCCACTGTGGGGTGGTCTATAGGAACTCCCTGAGCTGGGTGCCTGTGAGTCACCTAGGGTGGGGCTGGGCCGGGGACTCTGCCAGCCGACCTTGCTGACCCTGCCTCTACAGAGAGAGCACACACTCCTCAGGTCTCCCTGGTGGGTCACTGAGCTTTTCTTCAGCTCCATTTCACCTGCTGACCTGGTTTCCTTCCGTTGCTGTGGTAAACACCTGGACAGTAGCAGCTTTAAGGGAGGGAAGGTTTTATTCAGCTCACGCTTCCACCTTATGGTCTACCGCTGCAGGGGCATCCAAGCATGAGCTTGGAGTGGCCAGTCACATCACGTCTGCAGTCACAGGCAGAGAGAATTCGTGCGCACTGTTGCTCAGCTCATTTCTCTTATACAACCCAGGGCTCAGGCACAGGGACTCAGGCCGTCCATTTTAGGCTGGGGCGGGGGGGTGGGGGTGGACTTCTCACATCCGTCAACCATGAACATAATCATGAGAACCCCTCAGGGCAACCTGATCTGGACAGTCTCTCACTGGGGCTTTTCTCAGATGTGATTCTAATCGTGTGACGTCATTAGCTCTGTGTTTAACATTCAGTGAGTTTTCATCTTTACTCACTTTTTAGAACGTTTATCATTTGTGCGTCTGCGTGCGCCGAGCATGCCTGCAAGGCCTCCTGCAGCTGGAGTTGCAGGTGGTTGTGAGCGGCCTGCTGTGGGTACGGGATCCAGTGATCTCGAATCCTCTGCGACAGTGGCAAGTGCTCCTAACCTCTGAGCCATCGCCAGCCCGCAGTTTTAAGCTTTAAATTCAGTAACAAGGCTTTCCCCTTCTGGACCCCTTTCAGATGTTCCCGGTTCCTCATTCTTCGTGTACAGTGTCAACTTACTTCTGTGATAAAGCAGTATGTACTTCATGGTCTCCTCTGCTTCGTTGTTTGACCTAGAGTCTCACTGTATAGCCCAGGCTTACGCTGAACTCACAATTTTCTTGCCCTAGCTAGGTTTCTGGTGCGTGCCACTGTGACTGCTTCCCCTGACCCTTCAGGTCAATTTCCTCTTCTTCATGTTGGCGAACAGCCTTGCCACGTTCCGAGGACACTCTAGAAGTCCTGGTCTCCAGACAGTGGGGACAGGCTAGTGCACCTGGCTTAGCTCGCTCTTTCCTTAGGTTTCAGAGAGAGCTGGCTCTCTCACCTCAGTCTCAGTGCACTCTGGAAGAAGGGTAGTCCTCCTGCGTGTCCCTGTGTCCCGGGTGGAGTGTGTTCACATACTCTGTCCTCTCCACTCGTGTGTGCTGGTGTCCGGGTTAACTTCCCATGGTCTGGCTCCCTGGGCACCACACATGTAGCCAGGCTGCCCAGGTTGCAGTTTCTAGGTAGCCACCATAGCTCTTCCCTTCTAAAGGGCCTAGATCTAGATCCGGAGGTGGGCATCCTCATCCTTCCTGGGGAGTTGGCTCATTTCTGGGCCACTTCTTTGGCTTTGAGACTGTGGCTTTTCACGCTGTGTGAATGTGGCCCCTGGAAACCCTTGTTTGCAGAGGATCCTCCTGTTCTGAACTGACTACCTGACAGGAGATTGACGTCTCTAGCTTTTAACCCGTGCCATGAGTTCTCTCAACTTGGAAGTCATCTGACCCTCTTTCTTTATATATCTCCTCCCCCTCGGTGCTGGGGATTGAGCTCTGGGTCTTGCTCATGCTAGGTAGCATTCGACCACTCAAGTGTATTCCCAGCCTCGTGTGCATGTGTGTGTGTGTGTACATGTGTGTGTATGTGTGTACATGTGCATGCAGATGTGTGCTCCTGCATGTGGAGGCCAGTGGGCAGTCTCAGGTGCCATCTCTTAGGTACCATTCACCTTTAAAAAATGAAAACAGTGTTTTCTGTATGTGGTTTTGTCTGTGTCTGTGCCTATGCCTGCGTATGAGCCTGATGCTGGTAGAGGTCAGAAGAGGGCGTCAGCGCTTTGGAGCTGGTGATACAGCCGCCGTACGGATGAATGGATGGATGGATGGATGGATGGATGGATGGATGGATGGATGGTAGGAATTGAACCCCAGTCCTGGAAGAGTAGAAAATGCCCTTAACTATGGAGCCACCTCTTTAGCCTCTCTCCTTTCTCTTTCTGAGATGTGATCTCGTCCTGGCCTTGAGTTGCTCATGTAGGCCAGGCTGGCTGGCCAAGGAGTGCCAGAGACCCTCCGGTCTCCATCGTTCAGCTCAGCGCTGGTGATGGGTCTGCGCCATCCTGCTTGGCTTTATTTCTTTATAACCTGTGGGGACTGGACTCAGCCCCTTTGGTTTGCTGAGCAAGCGCTTACCAGCTGACTCAACTCCCCGACTTCCCTACACCACCCAGAGACTGGGTCTCACTAAGTTCCCTGGCCCCATCATCTGTAGCCTAGGCAGGCCCTCTTCCTATGATGCCCCTGCCTCAGCCTACTGAGTGATTGGGTGACAGGCCTGTACTGGCAGCCTGAGCCTCTTTTCTAATCTTGACCACATTGATGGTTTGAGCATGGCAGAGTTTTACAGATGAGCCTTATTTTATAGTACAGAAATCCAGAAATCATAATTACTTCACTGAGGGTGGCTCCTGCCTCTGTATTAATCATCCTCCTCACACAGAAATGGAATTCTATTTTCGTCTACAGATAAATTAGTGTATAGTGGAAAGGGACTCAACTTCTGTGAGGAATTAAACTCTATCATAGAATTAACACAAACATTCACCTTGGCGTGCCTGTGCTTTGTATAGCAGAGACTGACTACTCGGATGCAGCGCTGTCTCACTGGACTCGAGCAGCTGCTAAGGTCTGCCACACCACGCACTGTATGCCAGCAGTGATAACAGCCACAGGTCACCTTCATGGGTGTTTACTGTGCCAGAAGCCATGCTAAGTACTTTGCATAAAGTCACCTAACTGTCAGGGGCAGTGGGGGTACACCTGGAAGCCCGGTGCCCTGGAGCAGAGGCAAGAGAGTCACAAGTTTGAGGCCAGCCTTCACTGCTTAGGGACACTCTTTCAGAACCAGACATGACCTCGGCCACCAGCATCTGTGATGCTCACAGAGGTAGAGGTCTCGGAGCTGGAGCGGCTGGAATTGGGAGCCATTAGCCACCATGTTTCTGTATCAGAGTCAGTACGTGTCCCGTGGTTGTCTGGCTTTCCTCATCTTGGGACGGAAAGCACTTCCTTTTAATCATCATGGATTGTAATTTCTGCTATCTCAGTTTTAATCTTTTACTTTCAAAGGAGGCACCGAGTGAAGCACGGTCAGGTCAGGTTTGCACCCCAGTCGATGGGCGTGCACGCGGGATGTGAACCCCTGCCTTCAGTCCCACTTCCCTTCCCATAAACTAATGTTTAAAGCAATGAGCCTGGAGCTTCTGACTCCAGCAGGGAAGGCTGGGTTGCTCCCGAGAGAGCTTGGAGGTGTTAGATAATTCCCTGCCAGTGCACGTTTTAAATTCTCTGATCTTCTCTTTCCCACCTCACCTCGGTGCACTTGAAGCTCTGAGACTGTTCTTTTGCATCTCCCAGAAGCACCCGCCCCTCCGTGTTCCCCCGTCTCTCCTCCGCACCCCTCCATCACTCTGTCTACTTCTCTGCCTGTCGCTGCTTCGACTGTTGTCCTTGAGGGTGCTTCCGCAAGAGCCAGATCCTTTTGAGTCTGTGGGCTGAAGACGTGCTGCTCACTTACCCAGCATAGAACTTTGTCCGGAAAACAAGAGGTTAAAAAAGAAGTCTGGACCGTGAAGGGCTGTGACAACTGTCCTAGGGGGAGCTCTAGCGAGCCCTGGTGGGCAGTGACTCATGCTGCTCCGTCACTCAGATCGGCATTGGCCCCTGCCACGCAGGCGGCCAGGTGGGGTTACCGCCAGAGCGCGCTCTGAGGAGTGGGGAGGTGGGAGCATGCAGCCTGCACTGCGGGGGATGTGATGCCGCTTGCCAACTTCCCCCTGCCTGGTCCACTGCGGACGCCCCAGCCTGCAACCATGGTAACACTTCTGACTGGAAATGCCCCTGGGAGCCCCCCACGATGGGCAGCCTCCTGGTGACTGATGGACAGCCGCTCACACGCCTGAGTGAGAGAGCCTAGTAGGTCTGCAGGCAGCAGAGACGATGTGATTCCAACCCCCTTCCCCAGCTGGGAGTCATGCCATAAGGAGGTAGGAGCCTCGCCACAGATGTGTGGCTGTGGGTCTCTGTGTCCCCGCACCGGTGCTGGGTGCTGAAAATCACTGCAACTTTATCTGGCTGTCTTTTGATTATGCTGGTCAAACTGCAGTGGATTCAACGGGCAGGGTTGTGTTGGGGCACGGCGGGGGGTGGGGGGAGATAATGAACTAGAAAAAAAAAGTGGTTAATGGGATCTCCGAGTAGACTCATCTGGCTATCAATGAACCAGACTGCAGTGGGGACCCAACAGTGGGTGTACGGCTTCCCTAGCCCACCGGCCCGTTCCCTCCCCTTTATTCTGGCTAAGTCATGAGACACGCATGTCTTCCATCTGACAGCCATGAATATCACCAATTATTAATCATTCAGACCTGTCTGGAAGAGGGGGTCAATGGGTTTTAGGTCGTCCGGCATCCTGGCGTTCCAGCTGTCATGGGGTGGAAGCCTGCTGGAAATAATGAAGCAGGAGCTGCCGTCCCCGAGTGAGTTGTCCGAGCGAGCGAGCGAGCGCTTCAGCAGGGTCGAGTGACCTGTCTGAGTTTATCTTTCACCTCACCCACTGCCCGGAGAGGCAAGCTGTCTGCGGGTTGGTGGCCATGTTGGCAGCGAAGGGGTTAATCTCTTGTTGCTGTAGGAGCCGAGGCTGGGTCTGCCTGCGCTAGGAGCCCGGTTGAAAGCAGGCGCTGCAGTGCTGTCTCCAAACGCCTAAGGAGTAAGGCGCTTTTTTTTTCCCCTCTGCAACAGTGTGGAATTCGCCTGAATTTTTCTCTCCCCCCTCTCTTGTTTTTCTTTTAACCAGCTCCTCCCCCCTTCGTTCCCACCCTCAAGTCTGACGATGACACCTCCAATTTTGATGAACCAGAGAAGAATTCGTGGGTTTCATCCTCTCCGTGCCAGCTGAGCCCCTCGGGTTTCTCAGGCGAAGAACTGCCGTTTGTGGGGTTTTCATACAGCAAGGCACTGGGGTATCTTGGTAGATCTGAGTAAGTGACGGTGACTCTCTGGGGGACTTGCATGGATGCTCCGCACACAGAGCCAAAGGTGGTGGTGCTGTGCTGTGCGGGTGGGAGGGTTGGGGGAGTGCGTCGGAGGGGAGCCTCTGGGTGGCCTGTTTGGGGCTCATGGGGCTAGACTGTTAATGTTCGGTTCTGCATGGCGTGTTAGGTGCCTGTTCCTGTCCATGTCACCTGAACAGTCAGCTGGGGTACTTTGGGTTAGTTTTTTTCCATCTTTAGTCTTATTTAGAGGGAGGAGAGAGTGGGAGATTTCTAGCAGTGCAGATCCCTGGTTAAAGGGGGACCTTGGACGAGTTAAACTGAGCTGTCTGTCCGTCCATCTCAGGAGAGCGGACGGCTGGGACCCTGGCTGTATCGGAAGGATGCTGAACACGGCATCTCACAAGCTAAAGGGTTTCCCGATGGGTTTAACTGAGCTGCAAGTGGCTGAACCGGAGCTCGAACAGAGACGATGCTCGGCTCCTGTCCAAGTATGCTGCAAGATCAGGCTCTGGCAGCTGAGCCGTTCTGAGTAGGGAGAGCACTGGCGGCCAGAAAAAGCCCCGTTCCTTCCTTCCTGTGATCCCCCAGGAGGGAGTGTGATGCAGCTGGCTACTGAAGCCCTAAACCAACTAGGTAGCTAGAATGAGACATAGAGCTGTTCTGTTACCCTCCTGACCTGGGAATCATTCTCTCTGATAGGAAGCATTCAGATGTTGCAGCCGGGGCTTGCTTGAAGGGTCCTGATTTCCAGACTCCTAGAATCTATATAAAAAAACAGCTGCCTTGGGATGTAGGAGCCCCATGACATTCTGTTTTCGGGGGAGTGATTTCCCTAGGAAGGTCTCAGACCAGCTATGTTGTTCTCCAGATTGCTTGGCACCCTCACACTGAGGCTCTCGGGGGCAATGCTGGGTAACCAGTCGCTGCCCACTTAGGAGAAGAACACATTTTTTTTTTTTTTTTTGGTTTGCTTTGTTTTAAAATTCTCATAGGTAGATTCATTACCTGATTGGTGTGTTTGTAGTTTAGATATTGATTGGAAGGGATGTGGTATTGGTTCCTGGATGGTATCTCCCCCATAGGTACAATTTTGAGGTTCTTAAAAAAGATAGTATATTATCACAGGGAATCGAGCATTTGATAAACCGGGAGAGTGTGGGCTGTCCTTGGTTTTTGACAGGGGCTTTTACAATAAGAGGTGCCAGGGTGGGCTCGGGTTTGCTTTCTTACCTTGCCTGAGGTCAGGGTTGGATGTTTGGCATTATTAGGTTTGCCTTTCTTGCTGATCTTACCACCAAATGCAGCCCAGAGGATGGCAGGAGAGGCAAAAATCTAACTTGCCGTGGAATGTGCCATCAGTCAGAATTGCAGTGGTCCAAGCAGGGCTAGGAGGTTTGGCAGTGTTGTCAAGGACCCAGGCAGGAGTGGAGAGGCCCAGTGGAGGAGGAGGAGGCATACTCAGTGGGCAGTGTAACCTTGACACAATAGTCACACTGAAGGTCACAGATCCAGACTAGGAGGAGATATGTGGGGAGTTGCTGGACTGGTTGGCAGTGGGCTAGGTGTGTTCAGAGAAAGCTGTCTGATGATATTGATCAGTGATCTCAAAAACCGGGGAGGCCTGGCTGGGGGGGGGGAGTGGGCTTTCAGGAGCAAAGATGAGGGGAGAATGTGAGGGCTCCCAGGCACCACGGCTACTCTGAGACAGAGTGTGATTAATTGCTTGTTGTTCAGGAAGACTCTAATTGCATCTTTCTGCTTCTCAGAAAGCTGGGTAAAGGAAGGTCTGTCACAGGGACATCTCAGCATTAGGGCCCAGGCACCAGATAAATATTTGTTGACTGAATTTACTCATGAGACTTTCCCCCTGGAATGTGTTTGTGTTGCTTTCTGATTTTGAAGGTTTGCAGTTTCACCTTCGGCTGTCCAAAAACCCGGTCTCTAATGCATCAAGCGAGCTTCTGTTTGTGCCCCAACAGAATGTTTAATAAGATCCTCATAAAAATAAAATTCCTCCTAACAAAGCCGTGCGTTTGTTATCTGGAAGATGTAACTGGAGGCGTCTTATCTTTTGGGGGACTTGATGCTTCTTCCATGGCAACTCAGGGCTGGAGTCAGCTCTTCCTCTGCCGTGCTTGGCAGTGTTGCTGTCGGACCTGGCTTCTTTGCCAGGGATGGCTTGGTGGGTGAAACCTGCAGTCGCAGCCTAGACTCCCATCCACCTGTTGGCTGTAGGTGACCCCTGGGCATGCTGGATTGTCATTAATTGGGAAGCCAATAAAAGAGACTGAGAGGTGAGATTGTGCAGGAGCACCTGCAGTTTTACAGATGGAGGTGGCGGCTTGGTCTCCAGGTACCACCTTTGCCCTGTAGTGACCCCCACTCTCTCCCTGCATTTCCCTCCTCTGGCTTCTCGTTTCCAACACCACATGCTTTATTTATGCTGCCGTTACTCGCTCTTCACACCACCGAGGAAACTGCAGCTCCCACTCCGTGCTGCGTCAGGGAAATTGACCCCAGATTTGTTAGCTGGGAACTGAATGAAACATTGGGAAGTGGGGCTGAATGAGCACAGGCTTTCCACGGAGACCACGGCCTCAGGGTGACTCATGTCGCTGTGCTCTGGTCACTCCTCACATGTCAGGGTCTTTCTCTTGTTGCTTGGGGACCCCAGACTATTTCTAAGCCAGCCATTTAGCACATCGCTAAGGTCAGGTTCAGCAAGAAGCCCAGTCTCAGTGTGCTGGTGAGTGAGCTGTAGTGTGAGTTTCTTGCTGTCCACCTTGAGAACAGGGGCCCTTGGTGAGAAGCAGAACTGTTTGGTTGATTGTCTTTGGTGAAGTTAGCTTTGGAGAGCATCCATCTCAGTGACTCTTTTCCTGCCCCCACCAACCCCAAGTGATGCCGGGCATCGAACCAAGGGCCTTGTCTGTGCTAAGCAAGCACTCTACCACTGTGGCCACTGAGCTACACGCCTTCACATCCCTTTTTCGTTTTGCTCAGCTAGAACCCAGATCCATTCCCATGCTTTGAGTGCCTTGAGCCCCTATTTGTTTGAACTGTACAGTAGTAGGGTAGAAACAGAAATTTGTAAGTGGAATGTTTAAAAATACCATGGATCCCAGCATCGTGGTGTGTTGTGACCCCACCCCACTCTCCCCCCCCCCCCCCAGCTGTCAGCATAGGGTTTCTTTATGTCATCTTTCTTCCTGGACTGCCTCATTGTCTCGGGTGAAGCCAGGGTGTTTCTAAATGGCCATGTGACCTCCATGAGGCTGGCTTTGTGGGTTTGAGGGGTCTGAGTGAGCTGTCTTAGGAAGAGCGCTCACTTCCTTCTGCCAACCCAGCACTTTCCTTCGAGAGGATCTAGAGATACTGGGATTGAACCATCCCTTCAGACATGGCAGAAGATCAGGTGGCCAGTTTTCAGCGTCCCTTCCTTTCGGGATTGGGAGTTGTTTGCATGGTAACATCCTCAATGGTAACGTGGAAACCAGCATGCCTTTCTAAAGGGCTTCTAGAAGGATGGAATGAGACAGAAAGCACTTACTCCAATACCTGGTACATGAAAAGACCTAGTGACTGTCTCCTGTTCTGTTTCTTGCTATTTCTAACACACCGGTCTATATTTATGTAGAACTCTTACATATGTCCTGAGAGACGATGACAAGGACTCAGCAGTAATTAGGGAGTTCCAAGTGTGGCCAGACCCATACTCAGCTCTCCAGGTCTCGGGAGATTTTCTCCTGGAAATGCTTAAAATTTCTGGCCAACTAGAAGAGTTAACATTGTTGACAAGAGGTGTTCTTTGTAGAGAAGTGGATTAGAGGACAGAAGGACAAGATTAAGTCCCAGATGGGCCCTTTCCCATCAAGTTTGACTGCCTCAAAGCAGATTTGTTGAAATAGTTCACAGAGCTGGGCAGGTGCCTTAGCTGTGGAACAGCAGGATAAATGAACAGGACAGTCTCAAGGAACACTTGAAGAGTGACGCCAACCTATGCTTTCTTGCTAAATGAACAGTGATGATCTTTCTTGGAATGCTTGTCCATTGCCCTGTGCAGGCTGGGTCTCACTGGTCCTCACGGTCCCGGCACAGGAAGCTGTTGTGGGCCCTTGGTAGATATGCACGCTCGAACTGAGGTCACCCATATGCTGATGGGTGCTAGGGTTCAGCTCTGTAAAAGATGGTGGATTCTTGCCAGAGAGGAAGGTAGAGAGGGACAGACGGTTTCCGAAGCCTGATCTCTCAGGGTATCCACTCTCAGGCTCGGTTCTCAACCCTGCACAGATCAGCTCGGTTAACGGGTAGCAGCCCAAGAGGCACTGGCTGCCTTTCTCCCACTTTACCTGTGAGGAAACTGAGGCACAGAGAGTGTGGACTTGTCCGGGAGCTTCAGAGTCTCTTGACCACTGTACTATGATGCTGTACCATATAAACACCACACATGGGAGAACTCAGGAAATGCTTGTAGGGTGCCCAGATTCACATGCTCGTCAGAAGTAGACTCTGGGTGAATGCAGAACCATGAAGCTGGGGTAGGTGTGAAGAGAGATGGCACGCAGGTCAAAATGTCACTTTTGGTTTGGCCTTTATGGGTTTGTTGAGTAGGTGGCCTATATAGGTCTTAGATTTCCTCTCATTTAGAGACATTTACCTGCTGTGTTTGTGTGTGCGCATGTATATGTGTATGTATATACTTGTATATATGTGTGTTTGTATATGTGTGAGTGTATGTGTATATGTGTGTATGTATGTATATGTGTATGTGTGTGTATGTGTGTGTATGTATGTGTGTGTATGTGTGTGTGTATGCATGTGAGTGTGTATATATGTGTATGTGTGTCTTTGTATGTGTGTGTGTATTTATGTATGTGTATGTGTGTATGTTTGTATGTATGTATGTGTGTATATGTATGTGTGTGTCTATGTGTGCATGTGTGTGTATGTATATGTGTGTGTGTGTATGTGTGTGTCTGCACACA